TTTAACTTTAGAGGCTATCACAGAACTGGACTAGAATAAAGACGGGTATTGTTCACATTTCTAACTCAGCTACGAAATATTCAAAGATATACCAGAGAGAGATATATACAAAAAAACAAGGTTTAAGTAAACAACAGGAGAACCGAGCTACTGCATATGGAGTGAGTTCTGTTCCATTATCTTTACAAGCAAAAAATGCATATTGTAAATGGAAATAAATAAAAAAAAACATAAAAATAACTGCAATCCAGAAATAAAACTTACAAAACTCTTTTCTTTGGTGTTTTCTCATATTTTGTGATGAAAATAACTTTTTTCTACATTTATTTTTCCTTTTTTAAATTTTCTAAATTTTTTTCCAGATTTATATTTTTAAAGTTTTCAAAAGAAAAAAAAAATCCGCAAATGCATTTACTCAACAGAATAGATTTTTTTTTGCTTAAAACTTCCGTTTTTCGAGATTGATTATTTCAAATTGCATTGTTTTCCAATTAAGAATACATACAGAAATAAATGAAGGACTTAATTATACAATTGCTTGAAAAAGTATAATGAATTTGTGTACCAATAAATGTGACAAAATAATAAAAATAACATATTTTAAATCATTAAGTCCTGTTTGTATTTTAAATTATGGCAGGATTGGTCCTCCACAGTACTCGTTAGTTTGAGCGTAAAACAGCGTCTTGCTCCTCATTCCAGTTGAAAGATGTGAAGAGAATGTGATCTGTTAAATGCAATTTTGGAAAACAGACATTGGGGAAAAAATAAAAATAAAAAAGTTACTCTTTTATTAATAAAAAAAGTTTTTAACATCTCATTTCTGGATAGTTTTCAAAATTTCTATTAAGGAAATTAGCTTTTTTCAACTTTCCTTTACAAAACATGTTCTTTGCATGCAACAATGATGAGACAAAATCCACTCCATACACTTAAAAAAAAAGTAGATCTAAATAAGTAATTTATTCTTTAAAAAAAGGTGCATTTTTTTCTTGAATTGAGTAGGTAAATAAGACACTTTGCCAATGAAACAAAACAATTTACATTTAAAATAAGAAAAAAATAGAGATTTGTCTTATTTAAAGTTCAGATTTTGTAATCATCTTGTTTTAAGAGTAAACATCCTCATTCCATTGGCATATCATCTTACATTCCTACTCAAATGAAGGGCAAATACACTTAATTTAAGACATTTTTTTACTTATTTTAGATCGTTTTTGTAGAATACAGTACAGCTGAAACCAAAGAGCAGATGTGACAAAACCAGTCACTATAAAACGCTCAGATACCAGACACCGCCACACACCACAGCTAGGCTTACATACTGAACATTAACTGACTTTAGATATGGCAAAACCATGTGGCACAAAAAACACCGCGGCGATGGCGCCATCTTGTGGACAAGAAAACAAACTCGTCCCGACAACAAAAGGCACTTCTAATCTACCTCTGTCAGGTCTGTGTAGCCCTCTAGTCAGAGGCAGCGTCGTCGCCTCCTGTTTCTTACTTGAGAGAACTGTGCAAATGACTGTAGCGCGCCACGGATGCGTTCTGATTCGGACCTTTCCAGGGTCCGTTGAGCTCCGGAGGTCGTGCCATCTCAAACAACTCTGTTTGACTTGGAAGCTAAGTTCTTCACATATCAGTTTCTGATACCAACTCTTCTCCTGTCCTGGGAGCAAATAACAGGTGAAGATCACATTTTGGAAATATTTCTAAGCTTCAACAAAAAGACACAAATAAAAGAGTATCAAACACTCCCTCATAAAACAACTTGTCTGCTCCATGAGCCTATACAAAAATATATATCCATATATATATGTTCTCTTTACCATTCTTAGTTGTGTAAGAAATTGTAAAAGATTAGTTTGTTTCTCTTCAGGTGATTCGTCTGACCACAAGAAGAACTGCATACCTTCTGTATCTGAACAACTGTGCTTCAAAAGTGACCCCCAACAGAGGTTACGCACTTAGCGCCTCAAAAACAAACAAAAGGCTACGTTCAAACAGCAGGTCAATGCGATCCAAATCTGATCTTTTTCACTCGTATCTTGATTTTTTTCACAGGAGTCTGAACTGTTCGTTTATGACCTTTTCACCCCAAAAAAAGGTGCAAAATTGCGATTTGACGTGGAACTTAATCCAATACGTAAGCGTATGAATGAACATGTTGCTTTTTATCCGATTTTATGCCTTTTTTTTTATAGCATTTCTTATTTCACTTTAAAGCACAACAGTTAGCTAGGGGTGGCAATTGGTAAGAGTTAGACCAATGCGATACGTATTCCGATACATTTTATCCCAATATAGTAAAGCCGCTTTTCCACTGAAATTAGCGGATTAACACAGGTTTTTCAAACATGGATCGACCCGCTAACAATCAGCATTTGTCTCCCTTCCTATTAGCAAAAAAAAACGGGTCTGACTTCTCGCCTGCAAGCTGCATGGTCTCTGTTGCGTGACTAGTGACAGAATTACCATGTGTTAATGTTGATGTCACCATTGCGACAGAAATAAGGAAAGTAAACAATGGAGAGCAGCATGTAAGGAAGCCAGTGCATATTCAGTATTCTTTATTGTTCCTTTCTTTGTCCCTCTGAATCCCTCTCATCAGAGCTGCTCCATGTTTATTGAATGTAAGCAGAGTTGTTTTGGCTTGTTAGATCAGACACGACTGGTTGACGTCCATATGTTGCGCTCAAGGGCATCACGTAAATTAGCGGGTCAACCCAAATGCCGATCGGAACTGATTTTTCTTAAGTTGATTGTAACCCAGGTGGCTTGCCAGGTCGTTGACACGGGTCGCCATGGGTCAGTCAACTGTTCCCACTGCCTCTAAAAACTGATTTTTTCCTGGGTTTACAAGGGATTTTCAGCCAGTGCGAAAGGGGAATAACAAAGATGATATATTGCGACTTATATGATAATTTAGCGCTGAAAAAAATCTCAAATAAAGCATTTCGGACCCAGGCCGGATTTCCATCTTGTAGCGATTGCCAGTAGCAATTGTCTTGTAGAGAATTGATGGTAAATAAATTTTAAAAAAGAAAATCGAAATCCATCTTGCATTTCTCAGCTAATGGTAAAAAAAAGGAGCGCTCTGAAACTAACAGTATTAACCAAACAGAAGAAGAAGGGGGCGGGTGCTGTTCGTGGGGTGGCGCACGCTACACGTTAGCCGGGAGCTACGGCAACAGCTTATTTTCCACCGACTGACTGTTTATGCGAGTTAAAAATAAGGGTTTGTGCTTTCCTTACCGAAGACGGCCTCTTATTCACACCCAATATAGATGCACTTGTGCCATCTTCTGGCCGTTTTTGGTACTGGATTTTCAAAAGCCAAATTTAGTCTTCAATCATTCATGCAATCTCTATGAAATATTGCAAAATTTGAAAGAGTTAATTTTTATTCTACATACCTACAGAAAAATAGAGTATTGATCAATTTTGCTGAGCATGTATTATGGAAACGTAGCTAGTTAATGCTCCGCTACACATTGTTGCTAATAAGAAGGTGCTATTTTATATTTGCCAACATCTTTGCAGACCAATAGAAATGTGTCTTTCATCCTCACTCCAGAGGAAAGCCCGCCCTCAGAAGTTAAGATGTGGAAAAACAGCCACGTTGATTAGGACCTTTTTTGCAAAGTTTCAAATCTTCACTGCATTTTTTTTTTATTTCTGAAACATGTTCCTTGTTAACAACAACAACCAAATAAAAATATAAGTGTGTTAAAAGGACGTAAACCAGGCTTCAGACAGCAGTCTGAGTTTATTAATGGCGGTCGAGTTTATTGAGTCGTATGAAAAGCTTATTTGAGCAAAAAAATAAATAAATAAAAAATTTGGAATCGAGCATGAAGACCTGTGTTGTGAACGTAGCCCATAGAGATCACTGCCCCAACACAGCACAGACGCCATGACCTAAAGATTCAGGAACTTGTGCTGTATGCATTTAGTGTGTTTTTAGGACCACACCAGGACCAAAGTACAACAAATCAGTGGATTTTCAAACCACTCTTTTCAAATAAAGCAACAACTCAAACGGTAATCTCCGTACTGAACGGCAGAAGGACAAACAATCCTTCTCTTGGCTCACATTTGATAAATCGTCCGCATCCTTCGAACAAAACCAAAGAGCTCTGAAAGTCGCGTACGCCTACAGCATGTGTGTCTAAGATATACTGTACACCACATATATTACTGCCTTCTTTTCTCTTTTTTGCACATTAATGTTCTACAGGTCTCTGAGTCACAAAGTACCATCTGAAACAAAGCGTTAAAGAAACGAAAGCAAACATTTATCTCAGAAGAAAAATAACTATGCTAGTACCGAAGAGAGAATCAGAGAAGCGGCTAGCCGACGAGCGGCAGTACCAAAGTGAAATAACACACATGAGAAGAGCAATAACAGTGCTGCGTGTCACTAGCTACGGGTGCTATGGTAATATAAAGAAAAAATAAATAAAAAATATGACCTAAGTTTGTAATAGAAAATAATTCAAAATTTGTAATTCAAAATATGGATTTTTTTTTTTTTCTTGACAATACACAGAATATGTACCTTGCATTTTCTTCTATACAACATGTGCTGATCTTCCTCCCATTGGTTAAAAATAAGAGACCCAGAGAGGAAGCAACGCAACGAAGCAGTTGGAAATGACTGATTCTATAAAACAATAGACCTGCATGTACATTTTAAAGCTTAGCGTTCCCCACGTTGATATCTGTGCATTTCAACCCTTAAAATCTAAAGTAACAGACGCCGACGGTCACTAAAAGTTAACCCTGTGGTGCTTCTTTAAGAATTTGCGTCAAGCTAGCATTTTATTTTGACTCTTTAAAAAACCCTAAATCCAAACCCCTACCCTTCCGTTGGGGATTTAAAAACCACAACTTGTGTTTCTGAGTAGTTTGTTGAAAGTCTAGGGTTGGTTTATACAGAGTTTAAGGACAAATATTGTGTAAAAAACAAACAAACAAACAAGAAAAGTCTTCTAATTGTCTTCACAACGTGTTCTTTCTGTTTTTTTGTGCAGTCTTAAAAGACTCATTTGTGCTTTTTTCGTCTTCCTTTAACAATCTAACTTCTATGTCTTTGTTTTTTACTTGTACTTGACACAGTAGGATTGTTTCAGCCTGATGTAGAGGCTGACTTTGATCATTTCGGCTAAAGTACCTGGATCAGTAGTGGTGTGCTTATTGCTAGGCCAGGTTTTCTATCAAAGAGGTTCCTTTAAGCCGGGCATACGCTGTAAGATAAACAAACACGATTCTGCGGTCGTGCCAGGACTTTTTTTCGATGGTGCCGACTTTCAGCCTGATCGTGCGTTGTGTCGTATGCAGGGGGTAACAAGGGGCAATTAGCCTCTAACGACCACCTCCTGATCAGGAATTGTAAGGTCAGGAGAAAATCAAACATGTTTGAATTTCAGTTGGCCGTTGTGAGGCGTTCGTGGGCAAATCCTGCTGTTGAAGCTGAGCTACGAGCCGATTTACCAACAAACAAGGGAGTTCTTCTTCTTCTTCTTCCCAGTAATATATCGCACAGTGTATGCCAGGCTTTAACGGACCCGGGTAAAGTTAGTTAATATATCAGGCCTGTGTAAATTCTAAGTCATCCAGGTCATGCCAACCACAAAAGGCTTAAATTAAAAGGCAGACGTTTCGGTACCTATCCAGGAGTCAGAATGGATACATCAGGCCCAAACCAAAAAGAATAAAATAAACTTTTTTTTCTTTAAAACAGAGACGGTGAGCGTTTCTCACCCGACACAGTTTACAGAGGTTTGGTACCCCATCACCTGCTGGTTACATTATTCATGCTGGTTCTACTTCTGGTTCTGGGAGCGGGCCAACACCGGGTAGGCTAGGTTTACATTCAGCTGGTCGTTGTGTTGGGCCAAGGAGACGTTTTTGTAGTGGAGCACCAGCTCTCTGAGAGACGCGTAGAGGTTGTAAGGCTCGGCGAATCCGTAGCCTGTGGACGTCTTGTAGATGACACAGTGCTTGGTGTCGCCGTCGACGCTGAAAAAAAGATACGAGTTGATATCAAGCTGGCTCCGATTACGCCGTTATTGAAACATTAAAGTGCAGAAGACCAGAGTCAATGAGTCGATGAAATTAACTGGTTTTCCTTAGATAGAAACCTTTGAATCAGTTTGACTGGATGATCTGGTTGAACTGTAAAGTGCCTTGAGATGATATGATGTGAATTGGCACTTTTTAAATAAAATGAATTGAACTGAATTGAATCTAAAAATACACAATCAGCAGAGGATACTAATAAATATTAGAATATCCCTGTTTTTGGGATGTACAGCTTTGTTATGCCCTAATTTTCCCCCCTGGAAACTTCGCTCAAAATTTCACAAAGAGCAGCAGCTGGAGTTGGAAAAATGTTACTTTTGCTGCTCGACATGCCACATCAACCAATCAGAGAAGCTGATCTGAAAGCTGGCAGGGAGTCAGACACAGTGCTGCTCATGCACAGTGCTATGATCGCTCCACTGAAACTGTTTTATAATATAGCAAATCCACTCTCTGCCACTGAACACAGGAGCATCAGACGCATCTGGACACATCTGACCTGTTTACAAGCATCAAAAATGAAGCAGCAGGCGCTTTTTTGATGCTCTGTGTTGTGAACCTAGCATTAGACTTTCTGATTGCTTGAATTAACCTAAGAAACATAATATTGTATCTGAAAATGATCTCTTGTTTTCCTTATGAAATTTCCAACTCTATTTAAGCAAACACACTTCCCATAATCAGGACCAATGCAGGAAATAGTTTCAAAGAGTCTAAATTTCTAACTTTTGGCTACGCCGCTCAAAGCCTAAAGATTTGATAGACCAAGGTGTACACCCTATGAAATATAGCCAGCTAAAAGCTTGATTAAAAATTTTTTTTGGGTGTTTGACTCATTTTAGTGGATCAATTAGAAACTATAGGAATGGAGAGAGAAACATCAAAACTTGGCTCTATAGTATTTATTAACTCAGTAACGCCATCTCCAACTACTCTAATTGATAGCATGTATTTTTCTATCATGTTTCAAACATTTTGCTTTAATGCACCTCTATTTTCTATGATCACATCCTCTCCGTCCAAACACAGAGAAGTTCAGATCAGACTCTGGATCCATTCATGTTTGTGCGATGCCACCGCTCTATCACTATTCTCCAGAAAGTGAACAGTGCGGACAGAGGTAACATTACATAGGGAAATAAATTCCTTTAAAGGCGCACATTATCAGTTATTCTGATGGAAAAAAAATTGTAAGGTAACAAACTATAAACAGAAAGGTAATCACGAGTCAAATCTTTTGTAGTTTGTGGAGTTCTACTAAGGTTAGAATCATGTACATGGCATTATTGTATCTTCTAACTTTAATGTGTCACCAGACTGGGATTCTGTGTCAGTGCACCTTAAACAATTTGAGATCAAGGACCTAAAATCCTAAAGACGACATCCTTAAATAGAAGAACACAAACTTACACAACAGAACAGGCGTAAGAGCCCNCTTAAACAATTTGAGATCAAGGACCTAAAATCCTAAAGACGACATCCTTAAATAGAAGAACACAAACTTACACAACAGAACAGGCGTAAGAGCCCTTCTGGGATTGGCTCTCTCGGATGAGAAATGTTCCATCGCATTTGCCTCTCAACATTTCCTCAGCCTGTGTGCGTCTGATGTCGCCAACGTACCATGTGCACTCATCATGGTGAGGTGAGCTTTCATCTTCGTCCAGAGAGTAGGAGCTGAAGACAAAAGTTAAGCATTAGCTTTCAAAGTCGTGGTGCTTGGTATCTGCTCCTGTTACTGAGCCGGAACTCTTACTCATCTGCGTCGTTCTTTATGCCCAGCCATTCGTTGATCTTCTTCTGCCTTGTTCCTTTCTGCGTCAACCATCTGGAAAAAAAAAAAAACAACAGTTAAAGATGGCTGCAGCGTTACATTTGCAAATCCGACAAAAAACAGACGGTGCTTACATCAAGTACTGGTCCCTGATTTTGCGAAGCTGCATGAGATCCGGCTTCAGGCTGTTCATCTTCTTGTCAATCTCCCTGTTGTCAGACACCTGCTCTTTCAGGTCTTGCTCCAGTTTACGTTTGCTGTCATGAATCTCTTTCACGCGGGACCTTAAACGCTCAGAGTTGCTCTGGATCCTAATTGAAAACAAAAAAGGATAGAAATACTGTGAAATATGTATCCTAAAAAACAAGAAAAATGAGGTTTAATCAAAACAAATGTCTGGATTTACTTCTGAATTTCCTTCTCGTTGCCCTCCCGCTGGAATCGCTCCAAAGACTCTCTGCTGTATTTCTCCTGAGTCTCAAACTGCTCTTCAAAGATCTTGATGGTTTCATTGAAAGCTTCGATGGCTGTTCGCTTCATCTGCAGCTCCTGTAGGAAAGATATTAAAGATGCTATGAGAACATCTGGCTAATTCCAATAAAGTTTAAGTAGCACTGGCTACACTTTGAACAGCAGATGGAATAAAGGTACAACTGGGATTTTAAACTATCCATGCATTTGTTGGTTCAAAGCTGAACTATAGTAATTCTTAACTAGAAGGAAGTCCACAAACAGACACCATCTACTTTTAAGACAAGGCTCAAAACTTTCCTATTTTATAAAGCTAATGGTTAAAGCGGCTCAGGTTATTCTGAGCTATCGCTATAATTATGCTGCTATAGCCTTAGGCTGCTCGAAGACACGGAACAATTTCTCTCCCTCTGCTACAATGTATCTATTCTCCCATTCAGCTCTATTTATGTTTTCTTAGATTTTTCTCATGTAGCTTCATCTGGTCTGGTTCTGTTTGGCTGTGACTCAATCCTGGAGGGAAATATCAGCTGTGCTGCTGCCATCAACACCTTTGTTTATACACTCACCGGCCACTTTATTAGGTACACCTGTCCAACTGCTCGTTAACACTTAATTTCTAAGCAGCCAATCACATGGCGGCAAC